TTAGTACGGTGTAAACCACTCCCGGAGCCTACTATGCCGCAGTCAAGCACCTCCTCCAGTGGATTGGTATCAAGTAAGGTGATTTTGCAGCACAATGTGTTGTAGATCCACATAACGTGTAGTCGGATGAACGTAACGTAACTAGACATATGCTGGAGTGCTCTCCCGGTCGCGAGTGTAGTTCCTTCACGAATTCGAGTCCAAACTGAAAATACCAACGAGGAACAGAACATGGGTGAAGTACTCGCATCATCCGTCTGTTATGCGTTCGTGGTACACAAATGCGTGCAGGCGCGTTCACACTGGAACGTCAATAAAAAGGTAGTCGGCATGTTGATAATTGTCTGCAAAATCATCCAATTAACTGGCTTTCAGGTACGCTGATTGAGAGTGCCGGTCGTTCATGTGTGCCGACCGTCGCGACGGACATCTTTTAATCGTCAGTTTTAACGTGCAACATTAGCATGACAAATGTACGTCTTACTGGCAAATGGATGTTGCACACCGGCATTGAAACGCCCAACAAGAAAGGCGCAGTGCTTGGTTTATTGAGATATTTTAAGTTCTCCATGGAAATCCGCGACTGTGTTCAGAAAAACTAAGGAATAGACATAACAGGTGATGGTTCGCGTGCCGTGCGATATATACTGGCCGCGTGGATTTTCCTGCTTGTGATCTGCAGTGTGTCCTGGATGAGTTGCGCTTATTTGGATCCGTGGCCATGTCTGTTCGCGATGACAACAATTTGAATGTTCTGTCTTTTGAATTATTTGCACCATTGGGGTATGTTTGCGATGTATGGTGATGCAATTCAGGCGGATTTGCCATAAAATCCATCCTCGCTTCAACGTGGTGCGGCGGTGGCAACCAGTGTGCGTCCTTTGCGCAGCCTGGAAAAACCGAGCTCTGTTCAATTCCATAAGATTGCCTTTTACCAAATCTCTTCTCAGCTGTTTTTCAAGTACAACTGCTGAGCACCTTTTCCATGAATCTATGATTTGCTTGCAATCTGTCATAATTGAATTGTTTCTCAACAAATGGCTTCATATCTCCTGGCAACACAAGCGTCACAGCAGGCAAGGGCTCCAGGCCTTGCGCTGAAGACAAGCTTGGGTAGGTGAAGAAAGGGGGCGTTATTTTCCGGTTTCGTGTATACCTTCATAGTGGTCCCGAAACGTAATGCTTGTGAGAAAACATAGGGTCGCCTCCAGCGGCACATGTTTAGTAATGTATGCAGGAGCTCCACAGCCTACATGTGGCCGAGGCATCTTCTACGCTTTTCGGGTGCTTCACTTCAAAAGTGCACTCGCACTCCATAACTTCGCTACATACTCACCAAAAATAATTGTTATTCAAGCCGAACATTCCAGGATACAGGCACATCGTTTACCTGGGATCTCGTCGGGTTTTACTTATATGGCAAATAGAATCACCCATGCGTGCAAGCCATCCTCGTCACACACGTAACAAGCACGCCTTCGAGGCAAGAGGAAACGGTGATTCTCTGAAGGTAGAAGTTCACGGGATTCTGTTCGGACGACAGCAGGAAAGAATGCTTTCCAGTCAAAATGAGCTAACAATGTTCCACATAAACAATACTGACATGAATGAAGAAGCTTAGCTCGCAGTGTTCCATTGATGCCGCAGCAATTGCTCTTGTTTTTCTGGATTTTCACATGATTGGTGAACCTTCCTTTTGTCCACACAATACTTTGGGTTAAGGGTTGAACTACCAAAAATAGAAAATCTGTGACCAGCTCTGGTATAAACGCAGGCACTACCGTTGATCCGTTGGCTGCGAAGGATGCACCGGTAATTTTGTTATTGTAAGCCATACTTAGGGCGTCCAATGAAAATACCGGCTCCTGTACCCGCTGAACACATTTCGCGTTATGCGTTGCCTTCGAGGTGTGCATCTAGGGTAACGCATACATTTATAGGTATGCTAATCGGTTCTATCGAATGATTAACTGTATTATAACAAGTGATCGATGCTGGGTGAAAACAGTTAACACACCAGCAATAAGTGACAAACGTGGGATGTTCTAATTACCCACGTTACCGACATTAAGCACAAACGTCATTGTCCTTTGGTAGTACGGTTACATTTAGGGACATCATGGACGACTGCGCTTGACACAAGCAAGCTATGTTATACTACTGGGAATTGCATATTATCTGCCTTCATTGCGTTTGGAAATCTGGTAAAAATGTAATTTTTATCAGCTGCTTTGTTCGAGAGGGCCTATCATAAACCCCAAATGATACCGATTATCTGCACAATGCTCTCAGCTGCAAAATATTTAAAAATGGATTGAAAAATTCTGCTCCAAAATATTGCATTTTGTAGCGTATGTGCTCAAATCAAAACCACCTTAATCTACCTACATCTTATTGCAGCTGGCTAAATTTCATTTTTCACTGAAGCGACCTTGCCTCTGGTTGAAAAGTCTTGTGGGATACTTTCCCAACATCCCGAGATGCCCAAATGGGGCTTAGAAGTTTGGACTGGTACTCTCAATCCAATTGTCCGAATGCTTCAGTCCATCAGAGACACCTCATAACTTTCGAAATTTCGATTCCATTGTTCGAATATTGGGCGCCCCCTAAATCCATCATATTGCCATTTTTTAATGTTCCCGCCATGTAGATTTCAGCCAATCAGAATCAGGACGACACCGCAAGACACTTGAGCGCTTCGCCACGGGTCCATTTCCCTCAGGGTGGTAAGCCGTGGACCTGGTATCGCCTATTTGAAGTAATTCCCAGAACTCAAACATGCTAATCCCTCAGTTGGCCTGTGAAGTGTGATCATTTCATCCATCTAGGGTGATTTATTCCTCCCGAAAACCATTCGATGTACCCCGACATTGCTAGTCGACTGTACCCACCAGCCTTGCGCAATGCTCCGAAGACATCCATGGTCAACCGCTGAAAGTCTTTTGATGTTCTTGGTGCGCAGTAGCCACGTTTCTGACCCGTGTAGCAATATGGAATGCACTGCAACATTGTAAACTCGACCCTTGATGGATAGGCTGATGTCACGTCGACGCCACAGGTGGCGGAGGTTCGCAAGAGCTGTTCTGGCCCTCCCATTCCGGATGGAAATATAATCCTTCGCGAGACCACCGGGACTGATACAGTTATCCATGCAGCAAAACCTGTCTACCTTCTTAATAGGCTCATCCACAAGGATTTGATATCACCCAGTCCTCCATTAGCACTTTTCACTTTGCAGGTGTGAAGCGGATATCAAACCGTGAGGCAGAATTATTTAGATTTAGATTTAATGTTGCTTCCATTACCACGGCTTCAGATCAGAGAAGAGCTATGTCGTCCACGTACTCGATATTTGTTAGCGGACGTCCCGGGAGCGCTTAGACCCCACAGGTATTAGAGGCTGATAGTAAATCTCACATACTCTTATCAATGACGCGGGAGTTGCGTACGGCGCCCCAAGGAGGATTAAGAATACATCGTAGATACATTTGCTCCATAGACACTACCATAGTGCCGGACGGTCCACATAGTCAGAGGCAGCTTTCAAATCAACGGACACAACCATTGTTGGTCGCCGTAAGCAGTTTCGCTGTTCTAGGATCTGAGTGTGAAGATTCGATCTATGCATCCTCTTAGAGGATGGAATCCAGCTTGGTTTTCTGGTATGTGCCTCTCTCTGTATTCAGTCAACCCTCAAAGGATAAGGCCAGAGAGCACCTTCGATGCCACAGCTACCAGGATGATACCACGGTGGTTTTCACACATCGTCCGCGTACCTTGTCTGAAGATAGCAATAACTGTTGAAATGCCCCATTCTGCAGGCACTTTCTCTTCGTTCCATATTTCGCCATTAATATCTTTCAGATAGTTCACCAGAATTTACGGCAGTGAAGCATCGGTGTTGGACACTGATGTCATGCTGTCGATGGTGATGATGCATCAGAGTTCTCCATCTTTGAAGAGGGCTGGATGGAGATCATTAGGTCCTGGTGCGTTCTCAAATTTCAATGGGGATATTTATTACTTTGTTTCTTCTTCCGACGGGCGAGTAAGGTCTATATTCCATTCGCTCGTATGTGTTATCTCCACTGACTTTGTTGCAGGAGGCCTGGGGCAGTTTGCCTTACCCATTGCATTTTCGGGAAGGTTGTGGAGGGTAATAACAGTATCCCGGAGAAATTCAGGGTGAAACGTGCCCAGCACCTACTAGCTGACAAGAGAGAAAAGCTATGCATCATCATCATCGACAGCATGACATCAGTGTTCAACACCGATGCTTCACTGCCATAAGAAAAGCTATGAGATACCTTTCTGTATCGAAGCTGGGTGAGGCTCTTAACAGTGCAAAACAGCCCACTTGAATGATCATTCACGAGGGACATTAATTGATTTTCCACCGCCTAACACCCGAACACAGATAGTGAACATTGTTTTCGTCGTGAACTGCTTTGTGAAGCATCGGTGTTCAACACTGATGTCATGCTGTCGATGATGATGGTGCTTTGTCCACTTAAATATTTACTTGTGGGATTAGTGAAAAAAAATACTGGCAATTTCGCTCTGTAACGCGAATTCAAACAGGTGGTCATCTGAGTACTTTGCAAATCGGAGTTCTTTTTGGTTGATTGGAACGACCGTGGCCAACCGGATGGTTATTTTTCTGTTTATTATGCCGCACTGAAATACAATCCACTTTTTGGTCCGGCTGATCAATATTGTTTCGCAGTGAATTTTTCTGCTTCTTGAACGTTTCTCCTCGAAATCCGTTGGTCGCGGCATCGTCAGTCTGAACAAGTGTATAGTTAGGTCCACTGGAAGTGCAGAGATTCCGTGAAAAGTAGATGGAATCTTGTTGATCCAAGTAGAACCCAACGAGGGCCACATTTGGCCTTGTTGCAGTGGTCCATAAGATGATGCTCTCCCAATTAGACAGCCCTCACAGGTAAATTTCATCAAATCTAGGCAAGTCATTATTTGGAGGCTTATCGTAAAAGTTAGCTTGAGTCATCAGATTTCCCATATAGTCTGATGCCATTGCTTGCTCAAATTCTAATCTGGTGATTCTTTTCGATTTTTAGCCCTTTTGATAATGTTAACTTGATGACACGATATGCAGTGCTCAAATCTCACACTGTTTTCCTTGTTGGCTCCCAAACGCCTCGTGTATCCCCAGCTGCTTGGTATGTTCAGTGTACGTATGCGTCCAGATTGTTTCGCATTTCGTTGCCTACTCTCATGTTCAAACCTTTTACTTTTAATTTAGGTTTGAACAGCTTCGCATCGCTTCACACCAGTCTGATAGCCTTTACCCAGAACAAAGTGTCTGACATGTTGAAAGTAAGTTTACCTCTTGTTCTTCCACATTTGTATCTGGCTGCGATAGTACTTTGTTTTACTCACCCGCAATGCCCAGAATGCATGTGACCCGCGGCGCCTGGCGATGGTGCAGTCTTTAGCAAACTGCGGTATAATGGCGTCATCCATTTTGGGATAGCTAACTTTAGTTTATTGTACTGGTCCAACGAACCTGACGTTGTAGGAGGCTTTTCCTCCATCCTAATGCTTATAGGACTTTCATGCCAAACGTGCGCAAGAGGAAGAGACCAGCTCCAACTAACTAAAAATGTTCAACAAGCTAAATATATGTACATAGTTTCGGAAATAAAGTAACATCTTTTGAGGAACGCGGTGGTGAGTAGGTCTAATCATAACGTTACTTCGGCTGCTTCTTCCATCTGTTCGGTGCGGCAGATCCGTTGACGTTTTTACCGTTCTCTTCGATCAGCGTGTTCGTGACCTTTTCAGTGGACACATTAAGTTTTGTTTCCGTTGCCACACCAGCACTAATGAAATCTCATATGTCATTTGGTCGAAAGTTTCACCCTTGTGTATGATGACAACACAGTGGAAGCACTGACTTTAAAGTTACCCAACCAACGTGGATATTCACAACGAAATAATAAAAGAGTAGTTCAGCCGTAGTTACCTTGCCACCCAAACCTAGACTAGAGCAGCCAAGATAATAATAAGACGGGTTCTAACCACGGACCTTCTGGTCAATAAGTTCGCACCCTAATCAGTGAACTCTCTCGAGCCGTAGCTTGACGATAACTGCTGGATTAAGACTGTGCCCCTCAGCTCTAAAGAACTACGCGACAGTTCAAAGGACTAGATCTGTATGCAGTAATAACAAACAGATGTTGAGGATTTAATCACATTGGCATGAAATGGCCAAAGAGAAGTGGCTACCGCAGGTGGATAGCAGTAAACACTGTCCATAGACAATTAGCCGGATAACTTGTGGTATGCGAATTCGTGGGGACCTTTGCAACGTTGCTTAAGTTGAAAGATAGTGGATAGCAGGGAGAGTGCTTTGTATGGGGTGCCTTTTGGAGCATTTCGTGGTCATCACTTTTAAAAGTAACGCAGATAGGACAGGAACGTACTCTAAGTTGATTGCCCGAAGTCAGTGGAACTCAGTGAATTGAGGCTAATGGAGTACTCAGCACAGTGTAACTCAGGTTGCTGAGATGACACTAAACAGCCGGCCACACAGCCGTTTCGGTCCTCAAATACTTGTTTACGAATACATACAGGACACCCATTCTAAGCCCAGTAAGAAACGTATCGTAAGTACGAACACATTCACTGGGCTTTTTGACCTCATGACTCAAACTCCTACAATGTTCGAAGAAAGCGTTGGAAAACTAACAGTGAATGCCATGTCGCCATGTCGCGTTGCCCGATCCCTTCGTACGGAACGATTTATCGTCTGACAGCATATACGCGTCCGTGATCTCATGCCATTTTGTTTGAGTCACTGGGTTGGTACAAGTGAATGAAGAATAAACTTCCCTTTCCACGTAGAGCATCCGCATTCTGCACCGACCTTCCGTTTGGGGAGTTGTGAGCAATGAAGTGAATGGGATCCACTCCATCTCCAGGGCGCTCGAATCACGGTGGTTTACTGTGAATGGCATCTAATTGTTAAGCTGTAACAACCTTCTTATACCTAGCTGCCATGCTACTCGAAGGAAGCACGAAGGTTTGGATGCTGCCAGGTTGTCCAAGCCTAGACAGGGGAAATCGAGAGGCAGATGTCGGGTTCGAACCACGGACCTTCTGGTCAGTAAATTCGCGCTCTAACCACTTGAGCCATTTTGCCTCCTGAATGGCATCTAACAAGTAACATTAATGACTTAGAGTTTTTGCTAAGTCAACTAGCTAAGCGAACTATCGAAGGAATGAAACCTGGTGAATGTTCTAATTCAAAAAGCTTCATTCATTCATTTTGTCATCAGCCAGCAATGCTGAAGTGCTTTGATGGTTTTTGGAAGTAGTAGCTCACACACGAAAAATGAACTTATCACGCTGCACAGGTTGCGCTGGCTTGACAGCGTGCTGCGTATGCCAATCGAAGGGCTCTTTTTGCACAACCACGCGAAGGGTAGAAACGAGCCAGAAGCGGTCAAACAATGACTTAGCAGCGAAGTACGAAAGCCATTACCAGCAGACTCAGTTGCGTGAGTAATGCCGTCTCCCAGGATGGGGATCCCGAAACAGGACACATCAATGGTTAGAGACATTGTCAGACATGGTGCACTCGCGCCCTCATTGGCGCTCGTGCATCCAGGCTATTGCCTTCAATGCATAGCTACCCTTCCAATCCGCTCACCGACAACCTCGTATTTAGGCATCAACTATGTCAGCTCCCGCCTCCAATGTGCAGCTACCTCCCCACCTCTCCAAATCATCTGTGAACGAGGCTGTGGTAGCTATTTGTACTGTACAAGTACGCAGTTTTCATGGGTGATAATAACAGTGATGATAATTGTCACCAGCACTGTGACTTTAGATTGCAGCCTATTGGTGACGCTCTGGTGAATGAACTGAGTTCGATCAAGACTACCAGAGTTTCCTACTCTTTGCCGTTTTTACACGTTATTAAGTTTGTTTGCTCATGAGATCCAAACGCCCATTATAGGACAGGTGGGTTGTTCGAGAGCGATCAACAGGTAAATCAGCCTAGTTAGAACTTCATCTGAGGCTTTCCAAGTGCTCCATCAAGGACTGTTTTGCAGTTTCAGAATATTCCACCTAATCGAATAAAGGCCTCTCGAGAGCAATCTCAGATTAAGGTTTTCGAACCTTGCAGTAAACCCGCCCCTCACACTTATCAATAATCATCATCATCATCATCATCATCATCATCATCATCATCATCACTAAAATAATCAATAATCGTACTTTTCCAATGGTTCCGAAATCAATACTTATCTTTGTTTCTCTCAACACTGGATTTCTAAAGTACAGACTTTGTGTACGCTGTTGAGAGTTGGTTTTTAGAGTTGGCCTCGGTTTACGTTACCGTATCTATTCAATACCTATCAACTGCTCTTGACAAGAGCAAGAATGCTTTAGAATGTCAGTGCTGCTGTCTTACATGCAGATGCGTTCAAGCTTTTTATCTGCTCTTCTACTTGCGTATGTTGTAGACACTTCAGAACGCTTGCGGCAGACCAACACTAAGTTCTCCCCCTCATCTATTTTTTCTTCTCAGTCTAAGACTTCAAATATAATTAGATCAACTTTGTCGCTGGGTGTCAACATTGATGTTGCTGTCTCTGGTGATGATGACGGTCTGACGCATGTACATGCGCGAATTCATGTTTTTCCATTACTGGATACGATAACGTTTGAAACGTGTAACTTTGTGTGCTGGCAAGGAACCAGAAAGTGGCGTCACTTGTCTCTGCGCGCAGTTCCTTTCCAGCTGTTTTTTCATGTCAATACGTTGCGTCGATTTTTACCAATAGCTTGCTATAGTAGGGTTCCTCGAGTGTGTATATATTTATTAGGTAGATTCTGAGGTAAGTTCTTCTACAGTCAACATCCAACCAGTGTGTAGATCTGCTCTGAACTGGGCAGGCTTTTGACGCTACTCTGAGTACGTGTTTTATCATGGTACCTTTCGAAATAAGTGTCATTTGTAAGAAGGTTAGATCCCTTTCTCGCTTGTTTGGAGAGGCCAGTATGGAGGTGTGCTTGCAGCCTAAAGGTGTTGCTACATTCAGCGGTGGCTGAATAAGTTACCGGACAACCGTGGACACAAAACCAGACAAAATAATTCTAGCCCCATTTCGTATGGTTATCTATCTAACATCCAGTTCAGATGCATTTCCAGTGTTTTCCCTACGTTGGAGATAACCGTACTACCTGTGTTGATCTTTGTCTTCAGTATTCCGCTCAACAGAACTAGTCAGTAGCGCTCTGTAAGATAAACCGTGTGGATTGTGGTTCGTTCTCGTCCGCTTTTATGTAGATGTTGGAAGAGAGGCTGTTTAATGCAATGCAGCTATTCAGAAAGCAACTTTCGATTCATTTTCTCTCTTTCTTATTAGTTCTGCTACTTAAGGGGTATGCCGAAAGCTCCTCCAACATCTATCTACAAACTTTACCTTGCACGACAATTAAAAGTGAGTTCTTTATTTGTTTTAACTTATTCTCCGTCGCCACTTATGGGTTTTGCAATTATATGGTATCATTTCCTCCCGTTGGAGGTGATACCTGTACTAAACAGATTAGATTTGTGTGTATGCTCTCGATTCTGTTTGGGAACCAATGAAATGGCTGGTACCAGTGAAAGATCCTCCAGCTACTTGTATCTCACTATTGGCTTCCCAGATAGTGTGATTTGAATAACCTTTCGGTTGATTAGAAATTTGTGTCTCTGGTCCTCTTGTACTTCTACAAAAGGCCCCACTTACGAGCAGTCAACACTGTTGTTTGCTATTAAAGGTGATTTTTAAGTGGAACGACTGTGTGAACTAATGGACTGTATGGACGGAATCATACCTGTTTGTTTGACGTCTTCCCACTTGTTTCGTGTTGCACCCATTTATGCAAGGTTTTGTATTAGTTCAAGTGTCTTGCTGATGGTGCGTCTTCTCCATTCGTCTGGTGGGCCATATTCCTACAACACTGTCTTTGAGCTTAACGAGAATTTCGGTAATGGTAGCGTCTCGGGTACTGCAGTTCCGGTTCTTGTTCAAGAGTATATCTTAAGTCTTTGCACGACTTTTGTAAGCATGAAAATCCCCCTCCCCTTCTTTTTCACTCAAAGGCAAATTCCATATTCCGGTTGCTCTTCAAAGCCTGCCCCAATAAGGTTCTGGAATGCTTTGCGATACACCTGTGAACAAAATATGCGCCTCATGCGGTTCATACGCTTGCGGACTTTCATCGATGTTGGAGTAAATGGTTCAACCAAGAAGTGTATGTTGCACTCGTGCACGCAAATGGAATATTTCGCTCTTTTTGGGGAGTTAACCTACTGAGGATACTGCGTACTAAATCCTGCCCAGCGTCCTACATAGAATATTAGAAGTGACCACGTTTTTCCGTATACACTTTGCACCTTCAAATTACAAGTTGTTACTTCAGGGCATCCCCATTTTGATGTTTTCCTCTGGTAGTTCAGAATAAGGAGCTTGCGCTTGTTGATAGATTCACTTATCTTGGCAGCTGCATAAACCACCTAGGTCATCATCATCATCATCGACAGCATGACATCAGTGTTCAACACCGATGCTTCACTGCCGTACAACCATGACTTATTTGAAAGCCTTATTGTGAAGAAAAGAATAAAGGTGGATGGGGGAGGGACTTAGTGCTAGCTTAACACAATCATTCCGAGGTGCCTACACCTCCAAACATTCACTCAGGCAATCTGGACAGAAACTGACAACAAGAACGCCACTGACATCGGTTGGCAGCCATATCTTGTAGTGTCTCCATCCAGGCACAGTGAGGATCACGCGGTCCCCATCCTGGAAGGCGAGTAGCACCGACAGCACCCAAGCGTTTCGTGATCTCCTTCATACTCCTCTGCCAAGTCAAGGGTTGGCCACCTCTCTGTTTACGCCACTCTGAGTTGGGCATGGAAAACAGCACTCTCTTCAGCAAACGATGGTTCGGCATACGTAACACATGTCCCAACCAACGCAGCTTCTGGTGCTGGACACATTCTTCAATGGAAGTACCCGTTACACAACCGAAAACACGCTCTCTAACTGCCTCGGTGAGTACGTCACCGAGGCGCGAGCAATATCCGCTAACTTGCGTCGCCTTAGGTGCTTGGAACGAATATCACTGAGATTCAAGAATTGTGTGTACAAAGCGACCTACTCCTACATGTCAATGCAAATTAACCCCTCCGGTCTGAAGATCTCATACGTCTTCACATATTTGACACGTCGTATAGCAAGGGATAACTGACTAAAACACCCTAAGCAAGAATTCGGTAATGCGTCGAATCACTGGAGTAGCAGATAAGACTTATGAGGTTAAGGTGGTTGAGGGATTGAATACGTATGTCCGACCACCGTCTACCAGAAAAAGCCTCGTTTTCCACTCCAATAACTTATTGTCGAAAAGTTTGCAGAAGACAGCCGAGAGGTAACTTGGCAACGGGAAATGAAAGCGGCTACTATCGATTGGAGCGCTGTGAAATCCTCACGTCTTCCTCGGTTAGGCCCACGTGATTCTTCTGGTGCCGGAGAAGATGGCACGCAAATGATCCCGATGGTGAGCTTTATGTCATTTCTTAGCCGGAGTGCTTACCTAACACTTTTCTGTGATTACGTGCTAGGCTTGTGCTGTATGTGGTTCACAACAAACTTTGGATCAATTCCGCGGATGGAGTCTTGCCTCTGCATTATGCTCAGAGTTGTTGATCTCAATCGCTCTGAAAAGTATAGGCACATCGCTGTTAGGTGTTTGTTCTCCGTTTCCATCTTACTTGTTAATTCTTTCTGCATGGTTGTATGGTAGTTGAGGACCATTTACCACTACTGATTAATGACTGTGTTTCGATGTTGACGATCCCCAAGGTCCTGTTCTTAGGAATCTCAGAATGAATTCCATAGCCAAAAGTACCCATCGCTAATTGGCGCGAAATTTGTCATGATGACACGACACTGTCTTTTAAGATGGCTGCTTTGTCCGTCGTAGACAATAACTGCTTCTTCTGACTGTTTCTTCGTGCGTCTCGTTAAGCGTTCTTTTGTATTTTGACTTTCTGAAGAATGGCGTCAAGCTAGCTGAGGCAGCCAAACTATGGAAAACTCAGGTGACAGAAGCGGAAAAGCAGGTATGTTGACTGCAACATTTTTGCCGATATTTCTTTTACTCCTGGCGTTATTTCTATGCAAAACTTCAACGCAACCCCGTGGTACCATATTCCGGAGTTTCTCTGCGATGCTGTATTCAGTTTGGCGGTAGCTACTACACGGTAAATTGTCACAGGATGTTGGTTTTGGATCGTCCACCACCAGTGTGCTCTTCACTTTGCTTCATATCGATTTTCGGATGCGGGAGATAGTAGACAAATCGCCTGTCACTTTACCTGCTTTGGCTGCTTCAAGGTTTAATACGGTTGGGTGTTTACTGTTCGACTGTGAATCATTGTGATGATATCACAATTTTTCCCCTCCTCTTGCGTTTTGTAAGCCATTGGTTCTATCAGTCATAATAAGTTTGTCAACGGTGTGATCAGACAGAGCCAATCATACCTGTTTCTGCAGCTGAACTGACACTGGTGAATTGTTTGTTTTGAACTACTTTCCTAGCTGGGGGTCGCACGATGTACTTAACTCCCCAAAACAAGACGAGCTAAGTCCGACATGTGCCATAATTAAGGTGACTGCACTCGAAATACTGTTATTCAAACGGACTCTGGATATGCCTTCGGAGTCTCGCATGAATCAGACAGTTTGGTTGTTCCGTTCCCATTAGCAACCGCCTAGAGTACTCTTTGACACCAATCAAGTTTCATCAGATGGTCCTGTTAACCATTCACATGCGATTTCGGTAGATTGGTCTTTACCCCGTCCAAACGCGTGCAGTTTGGCGGTCTGTTGTGCTGCTTGTAGATCTGTTTGTTTAGTCACCGAGATGTGGTGCTGTCTAACATTTCGCTGTACACTCCTGCCCTTCAGGCGCTTGCTGTAGACCTCAAGGAAGTGGAAGCGACTTTCAAGAAACAACTCATGGCTTGGGCCGAATCGAACAACTTAACTGCATCAGAGTCCCCGAAGGAACTCGCCCAGGCTTATTGTGAAGCTAATGGAATTTTCCCTAACCCGGGATCCAACGTAAGTGTGGAGGTTTGTTTAGTGTGGATGAACAGGAACGCAGTCTTTCAAGCCTCACATACTAGGCATATAGACAATGCGTGGGTGGAAACGTTAGCATATACTTAACACACAGAATGATAGAACACATGCTGGTGATGCTTGCATTAAACCAAAGATCGGACTTTCATAGAATTGCGGTAAGTATTTTCCCTTTCTCTGATGGAAAACGATTTATTGGTCCACTCATGAGGGCTTTCTCCCGGATTATTTTACTACTATTTCCGCATGAGTGAAAGTCGCACTTCCCAAGGAGGTTAATATGTCACTATCTGTGGTTGTCCTTAGAAAGGATGAAATCTTTCATGGTATCATTCTGGTGGTCGTAACATCGAAGTTGTTCTCCGACATTATCTTGAAACTGGGTTTCATCCTTGTCGAGGATGAATTAATCATATGTTCGTTTAGAGTCAGTTACTTGAACAACGCCATCTTTTCGAACGCCCAAAAATAGTCGGTTCTCGTGATCTGAAAGCTCATTTTAGCTGGTCGTCAGAAATAATGACAGTGTCTGGTGATTAAAGGTTGCCCTGTTGAATATCCATCCCTAATAACCGCACCATACGCCAGCCCTCGTGATCGTGGGCAGCTACACTGTAGGCCTTCTCCTGAGTTCGTTTCATCAAGTGGTGTAAGACAAGGCATTCCTGTCGCACCACTGATTTTCATCTTTTTGACTAATATGCTACTTATAACTTCTATTACATCTTCTGAAACCCCGGTGATTGAGGCTTATCTTTTGCCAACCTGTGAACTCTACGGCGTCAGCGGGACGTCAGTTTGTTTACCAAAGGTGGAGTGCCCACTCCGTCATTGTGGTTCGTGCTGTTTTATGGATCAGAAACCGTACCTCTATGCACATTAGATACACGGAAAACTTCGGTGTTTGACTATTCGTTCGCCCGAAATATTGGTCGAGCCTGACGGGAGCCTCACGTTAGCGATGGTGGGATACGCCAGATGGCTTCAGGAGGAGGGACGTCTTCTGCGACGAACGAGGTCGTTACACGTCATGGGCCAGAACATATGTTTTGCATATCGGGGGACCTTCTACCTCTCAACAACCGGCTCCGCGTTGGATGGAAACAAACGAGAGGCACAGTTTATGACCTGGGCACAGGTGCTAGTTACTAAACTCATTTAGGTTCACGGATGCCTTCTTCCTAGATGAGAGTTCTTGGAATCTACACATCAGTGGTCAACACCACTGAAATACATGGCTGAGTTCATGGTGTTCCTTTATCAAAGCTATCGCTCTCACTGCGGGGTTGCCCGATTTCACTTTCCACTGGACAACTGGAATGGTCATAGCTTTCCTAGTCCTCCAAGTTTCGAAACCGTAACAGATAACTTACCTTTTATACACAGCTCACAGTTGATCTATGGAACGGGGTTCGATCCCCATGGTCGTCATCAAAATAACTGTGGGTGTTTCAGTCCTATTGAAAAGCCTTCTGGAATTCAGAACCTTGTTTGGATTGCCAATCAAGGTTAATGAACATTATTCCAGCTCGAGCTATTTTGAAGTAATGAAATGAAAAATGGAATTATCCAGTTTAGCACTCTCGGTGCCTAGCTGTCATGCCACCCGAAGGAAGTACGAAGGCTAAGATACTGCTGGTTTACCCAAGCCTAGCTAGTAGCAGTCGAGGTGCGGAGGTTGGGTTTGAACCATGGAATTTCCGGTCAGTAAGCTCGCACCTTAACTGCTGCGTTATCTCGAGCTGGATCTGTTTTAGTATCTGGCCTCTCAACTGCACCTTTCTAGGTCTTGGGAACCTGCCAGTATCTCAATCATCGCGCTTCTCGTGTGCTGTGTGAACCGATAGAGCCTCGCGCATGTTGCGCTGTCTCGATGTGTAGAGCTGCTTTGCAACCGGAAGAAAACACAATGGCTGGGATATCACCAAGTCCAGATCGGATAATGGAAAGGCAGGTTGCTTTCTGACCACCTCGTCAAGTAGTCTATGTTTTTATGCTCGAACTTGGCAAGCGTTCACGTCACTGTAGAAGTGTTGTTGGGAAAAATCACTCGGTTTTTTAACATTTCCAACGACTGGAAATATGTACACATCTATTTGGATGACTCCATGTTTTGCATCTGGGATGGGCTTTAAAAGCGTTTGCCGTCAGATCTTGAATTTTCAGTTCATCTGGTTACTGTATGCCAACTTCTGTTTTCCTGGATCCGTTTATCGGTGACAGGTGTTTTGAGCTCTTTATTGTTCGTATCCTATCTGCCTCTCCGTTGCTAGTTCACTCCATACTGTATACCGTTCTTTACAGCCCGATTCGGATAAACGGTCTCCAGTCCACTCAAAGAAATCGAAGCACAAATTACCAACCTACAAAACTTGACTTCAGATCTTGCATTTGACCCGCGATGGCCGTCTATCTATGTGCAATTCCCAAGAGGTCGTTCTCTTGCTTTCCGATTACTGTGTGCCTTTGCATTCCTATTCGATGCCGAAAATGCTACTGTATTTGTTTTATTCAGACATTGTCAAATAAAATCCTTAGACTTTGTTCTTTGTCTTCTCATATGATACATCTCTTCTGCGTTTGTGAACACTGGTGATGTTCTGTTTCTGATTTCCCGGTTGTGCTACTATAACCAAAAGCGGTTTTATGTTGGAGAATTCCGTAAAAACTATGGATGTAAGGCAGCGATAGAACGTCTTGGTGATGCTAACGTCTGGTCCTCGCTGAACGTCACGTTGTCTTCTACGCGGTACTCGGACGATAGCGCGTACCCCTAACTATTGGCTTGTATCGGTGAACCAAACACCATGCCTCACCATTCAGTTTGACCAACAGACCAGTTGCAATCTATCTTCATTATGCGGTCCTTGTCTTGAACGTTGCACTTACTCTATCTCTAGTACTTCCACATATGATTTTGATTCCGTCAGTCGCCCTAGACTGGTAGTATTTTGGTGACCAAACCTAATCCACTGTTGGTTTTTACCAAAACTTCTCTCCGTACGCCAACTCTGGTGGAAGATTTCGGGCGTACGGTGTGAGTTTACCGCATATATTGGTCTTACACCCACCCTCCTCAGTATCACTAATCGTATCGTACAGGTGTACCACCTCGCCATGCCACCCGAAGGAAGCCGCGACTATACCATGTTGGAAACACCGGTTCTCGTCTGATCACCTCAGTATATTTATCATTGAACTATTACTCAAATCTCCGATTCCTATATAAGTGCCAGGGAGAGGAAATGTACTTGGTAAGGAGTTTTTATCGTAGGATCGGTGAGTTTTCATAAAAAAACTCCATTCACTCATCGTTAAACTTCCGTGAGTAGTTTCTCGACCAAGTAGCGCTGGTTTGCCGCAGTTGAAAATACTTCCGATGTGGCGCCCTGCTGGTAAACTTCGGAACCTATCCATCTTCATCGGACGACACTTGAAATTCCTGTGTTACTGTCGATAGATCCGTCAACTTTCGACTTACACAGCTTTTCGTTGTCATTATACCAATGCTTTAGCATGCAGTTTTACGGAATCTATCACCTCTTAATATCCAGTTTTTTTGGAAACAACCGCTATTGTTCGCCTGGCGACTTTCGTTGTTTTCTCTCCTGGATAAATTGACACTCATAGGAGCTGTCACCCATCTGATGTTGGTGCAGTTCTTTTGCTCGGTGTTTGAAGAAAGTCGCGCCCGTTACTTGATGCCAACTGTTGTGGATAGCTTTAGCTCAGATCTCTTGCAGAGCTAGCGTATGTGCGAGACACGAGTTTGATCTTAAAGGCAAGAAAGTGTGTTTCGAATTACGGAGATAACTATTCTGCGTATTCCTTTTTTGTAAGCCACATGACAACCAAGCATCCATCACTGGATTCTTGCTGGCATTGATAGGACACGCTGCTCTAAAGACGTGTAGAAACAGACATGACGACGTCACACTTAGAAAATATGCACCACAAAGAATATCATCGACTTCTTTATTTACGAGAAGCCATTGAGTATACCCTCGGCACAACACTCGGAAGCCATATGAAAGAGTTCCGTGAGATAGAAACCCGCCGACTGCATCTACACCCGACAGGGTGACGGCAGAGAACACGGATAGTACTTTAGGCACCTATAGAAAAAGCCTAGAACTGAAGTCCGATGGCTCAGCAAAAGCCATACTTCAACACAGTGACACCTGCAGGTGATCTGGATCTCTGCATGTAAGTCTGCCTTGAGGGTGTCATGCGTACATGGTGAACGTTCACCACTCGGAATAGCAAACGAATCTATATGAAGTGATTGAAGAGGTCAATCATATAAAAAGAGACGTTTACCGAAGTTGGTTAAAAGATGCTGCAACATCAAGGCGATCCGCAAGACTTCAACGTCAAAGTCACCCAGTCGATATAGGCACAGTCCGTACTGGTTACTGGGCCAGTATTAATCAGTATTCTTCACAGCATAGCAAGCGTTAACTGGCTGTGAGCAGTCTACGACTAAGTGGTGATAGGTTCGGACCGATTGTGTTACACGAAGCTTGAGACATACGCCACCTATATGAAGCCAGTGTCTACCAAAGAAAGCTGTGCTTTCTACCACAAACCTTTGTTACAGAAAGGCTTGTTGGGGACAGGTGATGATGTGACGACGCGAATTGAATGTATTGGAGGGTCTTCACGTCTCCCTAGTTGCAATCCACGTGATTCCCCTTGCGTGTGACATGATCCCAGTGACATGTGCCCTTTCACCTCCTCGTCGAACTGCCTCTCTGTCATGTGCTTGGCCGGTCCCGCCTATACCGTCTTACTCAAGTGCGATGGCCAGGTGTGTTTATTTCATTGGTTTTAACCGTCTCATCCGTGACACCTTTGAGGTAAATCTTTGACCTTCAATTGTACCTGGGTCTTCTTTCGTGGTTCTGTGGCAGTTAAGCACCGGGTTCCAGCACTAGCGTATTGCAGCCCATGCTGCATATGTTACATGCATGCAGTTTTACAGGAACAGATGGAATTCCGGGGTCCGGTTATTAATGCAGGTAAGCCAAATGAAGTAGTTCTGTGAGGAATAGTTACCTGCATACCTTTTGAAGGAAATGTTTGTGCCACCGCCAGACTGAACCGATTCCATTCTGGGTAAGGTACTGAAAATTGAATTGCAACTTATGGTATTAACTGGGTATGAAACCATCTCCCCATTTTCCTTCTCTAAGAACATACGTTCTTAGTCGTAATTGTGCACTAAGATCGTGTCTATGGTCGCTGAAGCATTCATATACCCATCTGTGTTGTCCGTCCGCTGGATACTACGTCAAAGCAGTGGAACATCGCCGAATATAATTTCGAAGTATGCTACATTCTTGTCTCGTCCAGTGGCAGCCTATGGATATGAGATGGTGGAAGTTACAGTGGGAATTTTCCGAAAAAATCAAGCACCGGGAGTGAACGGTTCCGTCATCGCGGAATCTTATTAAGCATGAATATACTGTGTAACAATATAATGACCTAGGTGCGAAAGTGTGGCTAGTGGAGCGATGGTTCTGTGCCCACAGTGGCTTCAAATATCAGAGGAAACTAAATCATTTGGTGATACATTCTGTTAATCACTAACTCATGCGTAATGTTCTTAGCATTATCAGGGGTCTCATTTAACTGGGCTGTTACCTGGACTGCAAGGAAATCTATCGGCTTGTCGGGATTTTGTGCATTGGAAAGTTATGTACAAGCCACTTAATGTTGTGTTCCAACTTAGATCCTGTAGACTTTCCTCAGGGAGGTTGCTAGCCTTGGCAGGTCATCTGATTGCCCTATTCGTCTGACAAACATTGTCTGATAAAGTGATCTTTTCATCGCCCGACATTTATCGAACCGCATCATCCACCTAGAAAGTAGTCTGTGTCACTCTCCGACGTTTTTCAAGCTGTTCCACTGAGTTGATATATATCATATGGTTTCAAAGTTTATGGTGAATCCTGAATATCCTCTCTCATCCTCCTTTCAGACCACCGAGCTGCTATCCAGTTCTCGGCCATCTCTCGACGACACATCCACCCAAGACCCGCTCCGCCTTTGGCTTGGTGGGTTGCCTCCGAAGACTACCGAATATGCAGTACTGCAACTGACACGTCAGTTCGGTCAGTTGGCTGATTTCTACTTTCCGGTACACAAATTTGGTGATGCACGTGGTTCCACGGTAGGCTACTGTTTCATCACCTACAAGTCGCTTGAAGACGCAGAAAAGGCCCTCAAAGGGTAAGTTGGCCAGGACATACACTGCGTCCTCTCTGAGGAGAAAACAGCCTTACAATCGTCTGCTTTGAGGCAAGATTTCACTCATCATCATCATTACTGCCGGAAGAGGTATCTTCATCTTTTGTTCGATGTTCCGCACTTACACTGTATGTGGTAAGCTGGGAAGAGCGTTGTTTCAGTCAACGAGATATTTGTGTAACATTTTTTTCGTGCTCCAAAAGAGTGAACACCAAGAAGCAAGCGGTTTTGTCTCTTCCCTGTAGGGAGTGGACATGAACATCATGTGTCTTGTTTGATTTTCTGAATAGGTATCCGAGCTTGATCGTAAGTTATCGGGCCGTACGAACATAGTAAAGATAGGTAATTGCTCATCTGTGGCACTCTCTTAGCGCGTGTCTGCTGTGCAGCTCGAAGGAGACACTCGGGTCAAGATACTGTCAGGCTTCTTAATCCGTACGTACGGACAACCGAAAAGCAAGGGGTGGGTTGCATCCACGGAGCTCCCTGCTACCAGTTCCGCACCTTTCAAGCTCTCGAACCACGAGAGCGTGTAACGTTGTGATGTTTGAGGCTTTTCTGCTGACATCCCGCTCCCCTGTTCCACTCACATTCGCCCCTGCTTCCTGATTCAATCACTGCTACTGTGACTACCTCGCTGATGTATGTTTTGATCCCGCCTCTGTTTTTTTTTATCACCAAAGTCGAGGGGAAATACGGACGGTTTCGAAATTGACGGCCACAAAGCTGCTTGAGTTTCACCGACAGACTGATTTTTATAACAATTAAGATTAACTCAATAGGGAGTATTTGCCATGTGTAGGGCCGAGGTTTTCGAGTCTTCATAGCGTGCCGAAATCGATTTCTACTTGAAATAGTTTTTTATACTTACATTTTAGGAGGTAGTGTGGCGAATAGGAGTACCATGTATCTTCATTCCTGACTGGTCATGGACTACACTCTTGTACAAAACCCCGGCTTTGGATGTTTTAGACCTTACCTACTCCTGAATGGAATCACGCAATACGAAGTGTTGTCGTCCAACTGATGGGATTTCCTCACATCGGTGAGAACTGACCGATCGACAATAGAGTTTGGTCGATTTTTCGATCGCTGAACGCAAAATGTAGCCATTCATTCACTACACAAGTTGCTTAATTGGTTGGGTTTGAGCTGTTCCCTGATTGGCCATACCTAGTTGCGTGTGATTGGTCTGTCGGCGAACAGAATGTTCTATCCATATTCCTAAGTTTTCTTTTTTTTCTCTTTCAGGTTGGATGGTCTGAATTTTCACGGCTACACATTGGTTGCTCGCCAGGCTCATCCCACGCGCGATGAACTTACCATGATACAGCTTGCAAACAAAGAAGCTATGGGTTTGTGGATTGCTGAACAAGCTAAGCTCCGTGAGGCTGAGCTAGCTGCTCGCTTAGCGCAGGTTCCAGACCAAACCAGTGGAACTCAAGATCCCTCGGTGGATACAATCAAACCGGCCCCAACTATCACCCCCACATTGTTAGTTCCCATTTCTTTTGCCCACTCGAATTTTCACGGCCACACATTGGTTGCTCGCCAGGCCCATCCCACGCGCGATGAACTTACCATGATACAGCTTGCAAACAAAGAAGCTATGGGTTTGTGGATTGCTGAACAAGCTAAGCTCCGTGAGGCTGAGCTAGCTGCTCGCTTAGCGCAGGTTCCAGACCAAACCAGTGGAACTCAAGATCCCTCGGTGGATACAATCAAACCGGCCCCAACTATCACCCCCACATTGTTAGTTCCCATTTCTTTTGCCCACTCAGCTCAGTTTCATCTGGGCACCATCATTAACTTTTATTCGTTGTATGTTTTTCTGACCATCATTTTGTGTCAGCGGCTTATCAGAATATTAGATAATTACGACGTACGAAATGGATATTTCCAACCCTAATAACTGTTAAAGCTCATTCTTCCATACTTTTCGTCTCGGTTCTCATAGAAAATCGAATAATAAACTCAGGTTGAAGTAGCCTTAGTTTCGACGTTGAATTGAAGTGTTTCAGAGGTAGTCGATTCTGACGCATGTCAACCCAAGAATTCTGTGTTGCTTGAGAAATCTTAACATGAAGAAATGTAAATTGGTCTTGTTTTCCGCGCGCTTTTTGCACTACCTCCCGAGTCCTGGTGACTGACCTTACGAATGGCAGTCATCAAGGTTGCAGGTATCTCTTTATCCTCTTGCATATACGCATGAGACCCAGTTTATGATTAACTATACAGTGAGCGTCCCCAGTTCACTTTACATCTGTTGTAGTGTCTTGCAAGTCCAGTGTTGATTCTTGGTTTACTGTTCTGCCCACTACAGTGCACCGTAAGTCACAGTAGCTTGAGACAGCCCGTAATGGAAATGAAAAAGGGCTGCTACTGCTGTACTGATAGTGGCCACAGAATTTTCCACAAGGTCAAGCCAGAATCCTCGTGATGAGGCGAGAAGCGCCGAGCTGAAAATAGTCTGATAGTCTGATCGGCCGTTGTTCTGATCAATCAAGGCATTTCTTCTTTTGGTCCGTAGATGGCCATCGACACGATGTTCGGTGGTTTCGAACGGCTCGCCTCCGGAAACCTACAATGTTCAACTCCATTCCCACTGGCTAAACGAATTTGTTATCCAATGAACTTCTGCTTTACTCTACTTGCAAATTGTTTTTGGTAACTGGTTTCTACTCCACTGATTTGTCCCAACGGTGAACACGTCGTGATAAAAACGCCAGAAGACGAATAGGAGCGTCGATTCTACTACCCTTCCTGTCGTGTCACCGTTCATGGTGTCCTTACTTCTGTGTGTGGTCACAGCAGGATTCATTTGGATTACTGTCAAAATCGAGCATTGGAAACACTGGAGTTTAAGGATTGCGCGGAAACACAACGCTCAGGGATATTCTGTGGGGTGTCCAGGGATAGGACTAAGAACAGGACAGGAACATACGTTATCATTAGGGTAACAAAGGTAACAATAAGTAACTCACGTGTTCCGAACGCCACGAGTAGCGGACTGCCGTCCAACACGGAAGGAGCTTTTGCCTGCAAGCCTCCGGTTTCCACACCATCATCGAATCTGCCTAAGGAGGAACCTTGGGTCGAGAACTGCTGCCTTAAATTAGAGTAATATCGCTCTTTTTTTCTTTCTATGACCTAGCCCATGCACAGTGTTCGGGCGATTACCTAGTCATCCGTATTCCTTCCACTCTTAGAAATCGAAGGAGTGGGCCTTCTGATCTGGTTGTGGAACTCTCCGTTCTTGTTTTCGACAATTCTCGTTTTCGTAGTCATTTTCCCTGTAATTTAGTACTGGTCAGAATCTCCTGCCATCCGACCAATTCGTTTTGAATACTAACATCCTTTGCTACAACCCAGGGAGCCCGTGGCGCAACTGATTGAGTTACTCCCTTGTTAAATTGTGCCGTCAGATTTCAACCTAACCAAATGAAAAATTTCACACCTTAGCAACTGAAATCGATCAACTGGACATCAATTGTCCATGTTTTTGTCATTGTGGGCATTTCGCACTCATTTGGGACATTTTACTGCTATCCAGCTCCCGAATGTGTCACTGCCAACCTTTTCACTAACAGATGCAGGATGGTGGTGGTAGGCGTTGACCTTACAACCGTTGCATGGTCTACTGTTCGGAATCAGTCTTATGTAGCTGATATGATCAATCATTTCGGAGTAGTCACAGTAACCGGCAAGTAGATCAGTCGCATCACATTCAGGGACGGCAACTATGGCAAGCTTGCGGATGTTCTTTATCTGATATAGCTTGGTCTCAAGCTTCCCCCGAGAAATCATCGTGGTTTCGCGCTCAGTTTATGTTTGGCCACCTGTTGCCTCGCATATTTACTTCCTAATTCACTAAATTTTATTATCCCTTCTGTAGTTCTCCTTTGATTTCTAACACGGACGTCGCCACCGGAACTTCAAACGCTACCTCTTTTCGGCCGATCGGATCAACCAGTCCCTCTGTAATGTTAGGTACCTCTGGTTGCAAGGCAACTACATGTAAGTTTATAGTTCTCCAAGGTTCTTATATTTATTTATGAGTGCGTTATGTTAGAAAACATTTGTCTGTAGACTGCCTGACAGTTTCTCAACGACCTACCTTCAATAGGTCAGTCCATAAGGTTATAACCAACCAATACCTGAGAATCGACAGATGGCCTTGGTTGCAGTCAAACCAAAGTGCGTTATGTAGAAAACATTTTTCTCTAGACTGCCTGACAGTTTCTCAACGAATTACCTTCAATAGGTCAGTCCATAAGGTTATAACCAACCAATACCTGAGAATCGACAGATGGCCTTGGTTGCAGTCAAACCAAAGGTAGCTGTATCTCAACTATCAGTTCAGATGATTGACGCGGGAATCATCATGATTGACGCAGTCGCCTTCAACGCCCATATGTTTTCAGTTCCCACTCATAAAGTAGACCGAAACAGCCTGTATATGAGTACCCTTTCCCCGCTATTCTGGGTAGACAATCACACGGTTTAACTTGAAATGTGTAAGGCTTGACTATCCTGTGTGTGAACGAAGGTGTACCGAATGCAACCGTTGCTGACAAACTGAAATTGGAACTTGACAGACCCACGACTGCTCAATCTCGGCATTGGTGGCTGATAGAAATGGAATCAGAAGTTGAAACGCAGGCGAGAAAAGAATTTGATCGTAATTCTCGCCTCAACCGACCGTATCCTAGCCTCGGCTTATTTTTCAAGTTACATCGGATTTATCTTAAACTACTTGGTCTACAGGGTTTGTTCTATTCAAATGACTTTTCTTGTTAAGGAGTATTCTATGTTTACGTTCTCACTAATTGAACAGTTATTCCGTTCTTTTGTCCGGACCTTACACAGCTTCAGGGGCCGACAAACGGGCGCAAATACGCAAAATTGAGTTGGCCCTAAGACAGCTGGAGAATGCGCCAATCGGCGGAGTGGCCTTACTTCGACCTAGCTCAGCAACTCAGCGCTCACTCATTCCTCCAGGCATTCTAGCCAGTCGCTCTACTGAGACCTCCCTGCACAGTCGAATGGGGTCAGGGCTGAAACGAACTTGTTCAGGACTCTCTACCTTCGGCAGTCGATCTGGGTCGAACTGGGGACAACGACGACAGCGACAAAGAAGATTCTGACTTTTGGGAGTTATTTTTCTACTTTTCCAACTGTCTTTCAAAACCCCATAGACTATGTTAACTTTACCTGTCGCTTACATGAAATCGCCTCCGTTTCTTCTCACTGTGAATAAACCCTTGAACGGCGTTTGCGGTTTCAGTTTATACATCCCGGCTTTGTACGGGTGAATGAGGTGGCATTAAAGTTCATTTCAATTAGTTGTCAAGCTGACGTGCAACTCGTGATCACCGATTGGCGCATTCAGCTCACTAATTTGTGTAATCCTGGGACAACAAGCCGTTTTGAGTCCAGGTTCGATACTGTTGGCCATATTTGTCAACTCGAGATCTGTTCGATTCTTCCGCAATAAAATCGCTAGTAATATTTTTGAACGTACCCAGACAGCTTTGCAGTGCCTATCGCAGTCGTCTAGGCGAGACGCGGACAACTAAGCCAAGAATATTGGAGCTCTGCGTGAAAGAGAAAAGTTTCTTCCTGTTCTTTATCACTCATGATGTCCCTCAAGACCGTATGCCCCGAAGAGGTGAATCGAGGAAGAGTCTTTTCTCATTTAATAACTGATCGGATTTGAGGCAGATGCTGTCTGTACGTAGTGAAATTTCAGTCGGAACACCTCGTTGGATTTCACACTGAGACAAACAGTTTGATCAGCCACCATGTTGAAAGTTAAATGAGCTCTGAGAAGACCTCTAAGACATTTCTCTATCGGTGAGATTGAACGATGCGACTAGAACGCGTTTCAAAGTGATGTTGCGTGCGGGATATTAAATAGTGTCAGCATCAACGTTCTCGTCGAACTGTCCTGTCCATTGGGTATCAGTCAAAACGTCATCTATACACTCATTACAAGAGTAATTCACAAAACGTGAGGCGCAACGAGCGAAAATTATCATCACAATCTTTCAATGAGGTGGCAGTTCTATACTTTTGTCACTTGCACCTTTCGGCATTTTTACGCTACATTCAGCTGTAGCACCATTTCGGTCCGTCACGAAAAGACAACCTTACCATGGTGTGGCGGTTTGTGTAGCTCGGCGACCCATAGACCTATATTGGGAGTGTCCGCACGACAGTCTCTCATACCATGACGAACGTAGTCTATCCGCCCTTCAGGTTGGGGTTTGGAACATGTGTGGCGACGTGTTCCGTAAAAAAAAATGTACTTGCGTTTGCCATCAAACACCGCTATCTTGCGGTTAGGCTTTGAAGCCAAAGGCTTTGGTTGAGGACCCTAATCGTCCTCCTGTCTATGTGTGAGTGATGTAGAGATCACTTAACAGATCACGCACCACAAACTCTCAAACCATGTGACAATTCCTTTCCCACTTGCAACCTTGGTCGACAACTTGTACACTACAAATTCTCATCCATTTTTGTTTACGCGGCTACCACTTGCGTAACGCGCCAGGCTTATGAACTTCAACACATCTAGCAGCTATACTGCAGAGAAGACACGTCCCGCGTCGGAAACTTTACACAGGAACTCTCAACAAGTGTCCTCAAACGATAAGTCACTTTGGCCAATTCCACTTTTTGCATTGCATCTACTTTTATCAAGTGCACCTAACTATTGTATTCGTTACATTCTAGTAGGACAGACATTTGTTAGTGCTTGTTACCTTCTGATAACCAACTTAATAACGTTACAACTAGAGCACTAACAGTGTCCTGGCAGCATCCCAGCCCTCGTGTTCGAACCACGGACCTTCTGGTCAGTAAATTCGCGCTCTAACCACTAAGCCGTCTCGCTACATGTAAATTGTTAGGTTGTTTTCCGATGGGATCCGTCCGCGTCTGAATAAAGATCATCCGGTTCCATCTGTTCGCGTTGTTGTTGATGATCCTGTAATTTTGTGTCGCTATCCTCCACATAACTCAGGCTGCTATGTGACTCGGTTTAGGTCTTCAGGAGTCCGTTCCAGTTACATCGGCTGAAGTGATAGTTTGCTGTCAAATCTCGGTTATCATCATCAACCACATCGCAGAAGTGCTCAGTACTAATGTTTAGCTGCCGTACGGAAAGTGGTTATTGGGCTTCTTCAAGGGTGGGCATTCGACGCATGGTGTGTACTTCGCGCTGCAGTCCGCAATTAGTAGCTTGGTACAGTACTCTACTATCGAGAGCCTCTTCCATCAAACGGTAATCATCTCGGTCGACTATACTGCATTCCCTTCCTCGAAAGGCCAACACTCCTTTCGGAACCAAAAACATTCCCCAAGTTGCTGATTGGCTGGTAAACGGGGGTACCATAACAGAAGAGTCATGCCAATGACCCTGGTTAACTAGTAAAATATCACTCCAAAAAACAACGGTAGGGCCGGTGTGCTAACCAGCCACAGTACTGAACTTTTCACTGGGCATGACAGCCTATAATCTAGTCTCGGATATACTCAAACTGTACCACACGGTTGAAATATCGATGTAAGGTGAGATAAAGCTGCGCGATACCATCGTATATCTTGAGTTCGCAACAAGCATCGTTTTTATCTTACGGAACTACGTCTCCGTGATGACTTATCTTCCTTAATGAAATGCATTCGACGGTTTTGGAGCAGTTTATGCACCCTATGTTCGCGCTTCATAATAGAAATGCTAATGAATACGCAACGCATATAATAGATGCAACTGTCACGTGTGCCCTGCCACTTGCGAGTGTGGTGTGTGCAGTTTTGACACCTAACCTTGGGACAGAGTTACTGTGTTACGCGGGGTCTCTCTTGTGTGACTGGCATTTGTCTGATGAATCAGGTCGGACCAAAGGGCCGAGTGCCCAACGCTATCAGATCTGGATCTTATAGGAATGATCGCTGATTATCACGGTATTTCTGTGCAGTTAACACATGAATCGTGATCGAGGCGGTACACTCCAGTTTGCTTAATACGCCGGCGTTTCCTGGGGCGATCCAGGAGTTCCGTTTCCATTCACTGATTCGAACGTTCCTTTGCAGGCAGTCATGAAACACCCTGTACAGTTAAATCGTCAATCAGCAAGTTCGAAAAATCAGTAGCCGGCGGTGCATTTCCCAACTGAGGCTGCGCTGAACCTGTGTAACAGAAATCCCTATGGAGATCAAAGATCCGTACTATAAAAACCCTGAGTTTTTTCACCGCTCGGATGGCTTTGACACTGGAAGAGCCACAAAACTAACAGACTGCCACCAGTGCGGGCTAACGAAGTATGGTGCAGGATGAGAGAATTCTTGAGAAACAAAGCCAACCAGCCTTGATCTCACGAAAAGTGAATTGAGTGGTCTTAGACGTTCGAAACAGGGCAAGACAATCCACATGTCAATGACTGTAAATTCTACAACTTCGTAGCATCCAGCCTACGGTTTTATCTGGCACTCACGTCGAAAAAGCCATATTTCGAAGGCCACCAAAAATGCGCAAACGAGGCACTCTAATACGTTCTAGTATGGATCCTACATACGAATATACTAAACAACTCGCGGCAAAACCAAAACCACTTCAAAGTAATAAGGTTACTCGAAAATCTGACTCGAAAGATGCTGCGCAGGCGATAAACAGGTTAGCTGTTAGTGACGATGAAACCTGCCAGTTTTTGATATTGTTTCGCTTTATACTAGTGTTTGTATGGCTGCAAGCTCGCGATATATACGACATCTAGAACAGGATTGCTGTACTTCCACTCTCTGTATGGGAGATTATACAATGTTTATTCCTACGATTCAGTGTATTAACTTTCGATAGCCCACGGACTCCAGAGTTCCCACGAGTTCCATTGTTTTTCTCTGTTGTAGTGAACTTCTCTTAGTATAGATTGAATCTCGAGCAATGAACAGTCCTAGTCATCTCCCCACAACAAATTATAAGTAGCTCAGAAGGAACACGATCATTGAACGTTAATCTGAGTTGTCATTCAAGAAGCTAGTCAACACGTATGATCACTTGGTGTGGATCCCGTGACTGAAGGGTGAGTAGCACTATATTCTATTTTAGTGCGCTCATTGCACTACTAATGAGCCGCCCATGACCGAACGGGTAGGCGTTCAAATGGTGACCGAGAGGTAGCGAAATCAAAACTTCTTGAAGTTCCGTGAGATGTACATTGCTCCAGTACTCTTCAGCATGAATTCGCTTTACTCAGTGTGAATTTCTCATTGAACATCTCCAAGTTTCCTCAAACTACCAACAAAGTAGCTGAGAGGATAGGTGACTTCATAAGACGAGTGAACAAACTTGCATCTGAGAAGTGGTCACCAGAGCAGCAAGTGTACACGTGACTGTGTGGTGCGGGTTCTGTGACTGAAGGATGACTGGTGCTATGTCCCGTCTAGGTGTGATCGGGCGCTTGAGACTAAGCACTCAAGTATCCGCACTACTATCCAGGGGGGTGGCGGGCTTTAAACTTCCTGGAGTTCCATCAGGTGCGTATTACTCATGATACATGTTCATAGTAAAGATGATACTGTTGTATGATGCTCATCAGCTTTTCAGCATGCATTTACTTCACTTGTGGTACGAGTCAGGTGCACATTACTCATGATACATGTCCACAGTAAAGATGATACTGTTGTATGGTGCTCATCAGCTTTCCAGCATGCATTTACTTCACTTGTGGTACGAAATCTGAATTACAAGTTCAAAAATCTCCTCATATTATCCAGTTTATGGCAGTGCATAGAGTTCGTATGATGCTTTCCGGTTAGACTCTCAAGTTTATCATACTTATCACTCTCAAATATCTTTGAATGGTTGCTATCGCTAATTACTACCACCTGACCACCAAAGTTAGCCATGGCACAGTGCAGAACAATTCTGTTGACCAGAGGCAAACAGATCTTCATTTACGCGAATAAACACTCATTTGCAAACTAATTTGGTTTTTCGAGAGACCCACTTGGAACCCAGCTGAATCTCTCGTTTGTGATGTTCTCAGGCAACTGAATGTGCTGCACCAGGCCACCTCATGTTTCAGTCGCTACGATATTCGAGATATCGCGATACATGTGTATCTTTGTAATGTACGACACAACGATCTTCATTTATCTTTTTAGCTGCAACGGTAACCCCCAAATAGGCCTTGGTTTAGAACGCTGTATACACACTCATCATCCGGTTTGTAAGTTACATTCCACGCTGCTGGTTGTTAACCTTGAGATTT